GACCTTTATGATTTTATGTACTCTTAGAGGCTTGTAGACATATGTCAGGTGTATGGATAATTGTATGGCCTTGTCGGCCTATGTTTCGAGTTTACTAATGGTCATGTCGGCCTTATAGGCCCGTATGTCACATATATTAGTTTGTATATCATGTTGGGTCTTCATATGTTGACTATTCCCTTATGTTTTATTCTTGTTATCTTAGGACGGGTTTTCTGGCTCATTTACTCATGATAACATGATAAGAAAGATATGTTACGTTGGTACTCGGTTGAGTAAGGCACCGGGTGACCGTCGTGTCCCTTCGGTTTGGGTCGTGACACTAACATTATGACTTCAACGGTTATTGGGTGAAAAAGAAAATCGATACTTACAACAACAACATACCCAGAATTATCCCATACTGTGAGGTTTGAGAGGGTAGTGTATACGCAAATATTACCCGAATCTTTGTGAGGTAGGGGTAAGCTGCTAGCTGTAAGTACAAAACTTTAAGCTGCTAGCTGTTTGGGATAGGAAGTTTTAACGACACGTCATACAAATATGAATAAGTTTAATTTTGAACATCAATAGTAGAAAACATAAGTAACTTCTAGTGAGTACTTTTTATTTTTATTGTTACTTTTTATGTTATACAATATTAGGGTAGGATGAGTTCAAATGGAGTAACGTGATTAATGGAATTCATAACTGATCTTAATTGTATGTCTGAGAAGTGTTTGAGCAAATAAATGCTAAACCAATTAATAATAAGTTAATAGGGTGAATCTCAATTAAACTTAATAAATTCTAGATCAAATAAAACAAACTCTTGTATAACGAGTAGAGTTCAGGAGCATTAAATAGTGACCTTAATATGATATGATTGACAAAATATGTAGTATTATAAATGTATAATAAATGTAAGAAATGACAAGGGTTATAGTGTAAAGGAATTATCACCCAGTGATTGTGTGTTTCCTTTCTCTGATGACGACGACGTGGAAAGGCAAGAAGTCAAAATATATATGAGATCTTGAGATTTATGGATAAAAATTGAATAACATGTGCTTGAATAAAACGAATAAGACAACTCTTTCGTATATTCTTCTCTCAACTTTTACAATCTGTTCTAGTTCCCAAAAAGGCAGATCCCATTTTTGTTCTTTATCTCTTCCTATTTATAAGGGACATTCCCCCAAAACCCTAAAAAGTACAACATAGAGAATATCTCAAGGAATATTCTTTATGTCCATTTTTGAACCTAAGTTACCATTACTGTCATGTCTCAGCTGCCCGCTTTTGGCGTCGACCTTTATGAGGATGACATTCAGTCGTTATATCGTGGTCGACCCCGTCCTTCGTCTTGCTTCTCCATTACCGTTGTTACCAAATTTGGACCTATACAGTAAGTCCCTCCACTTGTCGAGGTCGTAGCCCTGCACGTCCTCGATAAGCGGACACCATTCGTTTTCGTCATGGGAGAATTTGGCTATTAAATCACGTCGGGTCGACAAAGATCGAGAGAACGACACTACCAGCGGAGTCATAACTGGCCTGGTTACCGTGATGTGACGTCACTGCCACGCGCGTCATCATTACTCATCTTTCCGAGATAGTGTCGACGTGCTTGTTGCTTTGGTTTTAGTGCCATTGACAATCCTTCACTTCGATTCTTGCGCCATCCAGCCCTATAAGTAGATGAGGGTTTCATTTTTTCAGAAGTTTGCGCCATTTCTCTCCTTGCATGTACATCAGCTTCCTCCGATCTTTTTCATCAGTTCTTGCTAGCAGCTTTGTTTCTGCGATTCCGTTTCTCGCCTTCTTGTTTAGTCATCACCTCTTTCTTTAGGTTGAGTAGCACACCTTTTGTTGTCGAGATGTCCCGAACCCTTCGCTTACATGACGTAGTTCCCGACGCTACTCTGTTGTCGGTGGCCCCTCCTTCTGGTGGTGAGGATTTCATTACTGAAGAGGGTGAGAGTTTTCCTTCCAAAGAAGAGATGCTTCCCAGAAACCCTCTATCCAGAAACGATTTCCACAAGGAACCCACTTCTTCTCCCATTCCTGTGATCTCCGAAATCGGGCCATCTCATATAGATGAACTCCGATCCACATACCATATTCCTTCTCACATCGAGATGGTCCCAGCCGGGGGCAACATCGTGGAGGTCCATAGACCTGGGTACTGTGCTTTTTATGTTTATCCTTTCGTAATTGGTTATACTCTCCCTCTTCTTCCACTGGTGGAGGAGTTCTGTCGATTTTACAACGTCTGCCCAGCGCAATTATCTCCATATTTGTATGAAGACTTTTTTATGTTGATAAAGTACACGGAGTTGGATGGTTGTAAAGTCGACATCTGCCACCTATTACATTTGTTTTCACCAAGCTTTCACAGAGGCACCATGATATAGTTGCAACATCACGGGACCAAGGGGCTGATAGTTGGAATGGACGACAGGGTAAGCCGAAAGTTTTGACACAAGTACTTTTTTATCAAAACGGAGCACTTGGTGTCGGACTTGCTGGATTTCCTGAGCAGTGGAATCATAATCGTAGGTGTTGATGACATACACTTGTTGTCTTCTTTCATCCTTTATGATCTTTATTTATTTGTGATTTTTTTGTGTAGTTGAGAGGCATGTACCCTTTCCCATCGTCGTTATTGAGTACTCGGTAGCTCGCGTATTACCTCACATGGCTAGGATTCGAGATTGGGCGGTTTTCTACAAATGTTTTGGACTGAACGTTCCATCTAGTAAGTGTTTCTTTTGTTTTGATCTTCGGCTGCCTACCGTCGTTTATTGATACGACCTCTTTGTGGTGACAGGTTGACGGGCTTCTAAGAAGAAAGCTCTAGTGTCGGCATTTCGCCAGGCTATTGCTCAGCAAGGATGCAATTTACTTTGGCTGAGTCCACCCGCGGGGGTCGTACTTAAACTTTATCAACAAGAGACCCCCCTCTTTGGGATGTCGATGAATGGGACGAGATCTCGTCCCGGCCTGTCTACCACCTCGTAGACGAGTCCTCTAATGGGGAGGAGTCGTCATCGAGGAAGAGGAGGAGGGTGGAGCTTATGAAAGCCATCGCCACCAGCGTTGAAAAGAAGAAAGTCGTTGCTTTGAGAGGGGTGTCCTCGCCTATGTTAGACGTAGGGACTGTTTTTATGGCGGATGCTATCATGACGGGGAGATCTCCTAGGGTCGAGAGGACGTACCAAGGGGGAACCTGTGCAGACTGCTGAAGATGGTGCGTCATCGGCTGCCGGAATGGATGGGGCGATGCCCTTAGAG